CGGAGTCATTATACCCAAACTTTCCTATAGAGAACTTAATATGAAAAACAAAACTTAACAGTGCAATTGCTTCATATAAAGCGGTTAGTGAATATAGGCGGAGTCATAATAAACGAATTTCACTGTAGGTACATTTGTATTTAAAATACTGAAGAGAGTATACCTACCTAGTTCCGGCATTATGATATATGCATATAATAATAATATCATTTAAATTTAATCTTTTGTCTGCTGTAATTCACATTCAATTCTGACAGTTATTCTTTACTTACATTACCGTTACATTTCTTCCCTTAACGATTATTTCGTTAATTATAAATTTTATGTGATTGAGATTTGGTTAAGAGTATAATGTTGATTATTTTGCATTTACTTTCAAAGGCAAAGAAGCCACATGAATTTGCAAGCTAGTGCACGATCATTTAAACCGTTACTTGACGGTTGCTGTATTGCTATCGACTTGTTGCTACTTGGTCATCGTAATAACAAAACTTCTGTATGGCTGCATAATGTTTTATAAACAAAACACGTTTCTTGATCCACAGTATCATATCATGTACCTACATAAGTGTGTGACAACTAACACTGTATGAAACGATAGCAAAAAGTTATTACATTTTAAATAAGCACAAGGAAAAAATCACAAACTGAATTCTAAATTTTAAAAAAATATATTTAAAAAAATAACTTTCGTTAATGGGGTAATAGACAAGCACAAATGATAAAATAAGTATCAGTTTGAAATTTTTGCCAAAAATTGAGAAATATGAAAACAAACAAAATAACTCAAACCCCAACGTCAAAACACGACACTGTAGTTGTCCGAAGCACTTTTCGGTAACAAGGTTACCTTCTTCAGTGACTGAAGTTCACTTTAAACATCTTTCTTATGGAAAAGAAGACATTTGAAAATGAAATTAATAACTTTAGAAATTGAAGTAATCTTTAATGCCACAAACGAAGAAAAGTTTTGAAAATATCTCCAAAGTCTAGTGAATTTTTCGTCGTCGGTAAGATTGGGTAGTGTCGGATTCCCGAAAAAGTGTCGTCCTTTACCGACTAAAATCCCTCTACCTCAGGTCGTTTTGGGACCATGTCAAGTCCTGTTCAGCCGTACATACTTATGTAAAGTAACTTTTTGATACTGTGTGCTAACAATAACTAAACTACTGATTCTCGTATTGAATTAATTATAATTATCTTTACCAAATTATGATTAGAAAGAAGGAAACACAGGATTCTCATTAATGATCGAATAGTAAAAAGAAGTGTAAATCTATGTGTATACTTTTTGTGATCACTCTTCATCCAATTTGTACGTAACACTGTCTTCTTTATGAAACCCAATATACGTTTACTTTTTTGAGTAATCTTATTAAAAGTTCATCAGTTTTAAGTTCTACATGTCGATGTTAAATAGTAGACCAGGGGAAAAGTGGATCCTATATGTACGTAAAACTGGCCACCTCTGCCCTGAGTATAAGGAAAGCCACAGTTGATTCAGGTATTTCCCCCTTTCAAGAGTAAGAAAGTTTTATCGTCAAACTTTAAATAGGTCTTGAAAATAGGTACATTTTGCAAATTTCCTGGAATTTTTGGATGATTTTTGATCACGTTTGGGTCCTTTCCGAAATAGAAATTTCTATTAAGGGATAGCTACTTAAACATATAAAAAAAAATGAAGAAAATTATGTATTTCATGAAGAGAAAAATAGTCCCCTTCAACGTAACAAATTATATGTAGATAATAATTTATTGTCCTGTAATACTGAATGTGGGTGTAATTGTCAACCAAAAAAAGGGAAATTACATCCGCCGTCAGGACGAACGTAGGTAAAAGCCAATAAATTTTTAGGTTCTGCAATAGTCAGATGGGTGGTAAAAGCACGTGAATTGGATTACAAAGTATTTGTAATGCCCAGTACTAAATATAATATATGTTCGTGCTTGCGTGTTTAGGCACATGTCTGAAAATCGGCTTACCTGTCTAGAAATAGTTACTACAAAAACGATTAAATCAATATTAGCAATGGCAAAATTGAGTTAACTCGATTAATTTGTTCTTACCTACAATAAAAGCATCATCTTTTAATTGTAGTTGCTGCCACTAAGTGTTTTTGAAAATATAATAACTAATTGATTGTATATCTGTATTCGTAAGAAATGATCCACGAAAGGATTTTTTATGGTATTAATTGTAAGACGTGAAAGACCCTTAAAAAAAGTTTTGTCTATCTGTACGAGTGAGTCTTCGAAACACTGAATTATGGATATGTGTAGGAGATTGTCAGGAATAATCTATACTACGTCTTTAAATTCTTTATTGGTTATAACAATTATATTGTAGAAATAAATAGAAATTTAACATTGCTGTAAAAGGGAATCCTTATCCTTTGACATCAGTATTTACTTTTTTATTAGTTCTGTTTGAATGAGGTATAAAAAGCCTTCTTAATTTATAGGATAACGAGTTACATTGAACTTTTTAATTAAATTTCTTACGTAATGAGCTACAAAGTTTTATAATTACAATTACAGTTTTAAAATAAAAACATAATTAAGTCGAAAAATAGACGATGATGCCGTACTTTGCTTTAACTTTTCCTTACGAAATTCAATTGTTTTATTTATTAAAATTGTTGATAATGAAAAAATTGCTCCTTATCTTAGTAAAATAGTCGTTGTTATTTTATATGATTTTACGAATATTTGAGCTGTCTGAATATTATTGAAGTGAAAGCTTTTGAATCTCGAAACCATCGACAGGTTTCAACATGTTTTCCTACCTGCCTGATGTATGCTTGCTTTGTTTTATTACATTGTACATCACTGGTGGATTTTTCGGGTCCCAAGCCAGTCAAATATTTGATAAGCATCATATTATACCTTTAAATTTCTCGTTCTCATATTTTAAGTCTGTTGTAAAGGAAACTATTAATTTGAAGAGAAAAAATATAGGAATTCAAGTATCATGCAGCTTACGATTACTAAAGTATTTTTTTTACTTATTATTAGTTAGCTTAACCACTAAAAGTCTGCGTAAGTCCAGTTTAATTGTTATCAAAAGTTCTCAAAATAGATAAAGATAATGTTAATTGACCTTAACCCATTTACGTATCTTATGTTAACCTTATTTTTACAGCAACTGAAATTTCAATTCGGTAATCCATATTTTTTAATTTGAAAGTGTTTTTAGGCTGTTTGAAAATAGTAACGTGACTAGTGTCGGGTATCGTCAATGAAAGTTAATGAGACACAACAACAATAATTATCTATCTTTATTAGTCAGCATGTAGTTATGATAACTCACAAGAATAATATCTTGGGAAAATGTGTTAACTTATATGTGGGAGGCTCTTTTAATAGAATTATCAGTCAGTTTATTTTTATAAAAAATGTTTCGGTTTGTTTTTCTAGGGTAAGGGAACTTAAGTTTTCAAAAACCCGAAAATATGAGGACTATGTCTTCATTTTGCTATACATCTCATAAATCAGCACAGCATCCTTTTGAAAATTTGTTTCGACTTATTAAAGACGTTGAAAATATTTCCTGATGATAAGTTGAATGAAATACATTAATCGAATTGTTTGTAAATACTTGTCAGTTTGGACCCATATGCAAAATTATCGTTTCACAATCATTTTTGCTGTTACGTTCGTAGTACATGCGGGTTTTATCTTTACTACAAATCTTTATGCTTCTACGTAATTTAAACACTGACAGCTGCGCAAAAAAAAATTAATGTGATGCGTTATACATAAATTATTCACAATCAGAAAAATTGGTTTGCTACTAATGCATACTATTACTTATCTGTACTTTAAAAACGGGAAAGTATACATATTATAAATTGGATCTGTTTGTTATTTGTAACATATCGTCATCATTAATCATTTTGAAAATTAATGATGAACAGTCATGAGGTGTTAAATATAATTTCAGGAACTTGTAATTTCAACATTTTCAGTTTTTTACGACCACTTGCGTGTGGTAACGTAGAGAAATAATTGCAGCCGTGCAAAAATTCTGATATAAATTAATTAAAATAATTGCTACAAGGTCCTTGTAGGTATATGCTCTGTAAAATTATGTAAATTAGGGTTAGAATATTATGTAAGCAAAAGTCTTTTTTAACGAATTACATTTGAAATATTCACTATCCTGTAGAATCTCAGGCTCACTTACATTGATATTAATAGTCGAATCGCTCGAATATACTATTCGAAATCTCCGAAACGTATAGTCACAAGTTGAAATTTTATACGAAATATTTTCACTCAGTAAATGTAAAATACGGACAAATATTGTTCATACGTGCATTTAAGAAATTTCATACGGAAGTCATAAAATTGACGTTGTTAGGTTTTCGCCAGTCATTTACTTTTCGTGCTGTTTTTAAAATAAATCAAAACGTACTTCAGGTTAATAAGGGAATTGTTGCAACGAAATTTTGAGTTTCTTTGATATTTTAGCGTTAGCAAATAATAATAAGAATTAGCAGTACAATTACGATAAACTATGTGTATGGCATGCCGAAAAATGTTCTATTTCTGTACTCTTGTGTAATTTTGGGAACAAGACGTACCACGGTAATAACTTGAAATTTTAATGAGTAATTGAAGGCTAAAATACATACATAATGTAATATTCTATTAGACTCTATTTAATCTGCACAAGTTTGTTATTTATGATAAGCAAAAAGGTAGAGAAAAGCTATGAAAATTGAACTGAAATCAAAAAAAACTCAAAGTACCAACTGGCAAACAATTTTAGAGACAAAAAATTAGCAAGGATATATAAGAAACAGCGTGTTTATAATTTTCTAGAAAATTACAGCATTGATATTTATGCTGTTTCCCAGTTTTATTTTTTATTCTTCAACTTTTAATTTTTGTTTTTTGATAACTTGATCCTTAATATTGTGTTCCCGTTTCAAGAGGAATAGGAACCATAGAATGGGAATGGGTTTTGTAGTAACTTATTGTTTGTTTTGTTACAGATATTATGGTCAGGAAAAAGAATATAACATATTAGTTATGGACTTGTTGGGGCCATCACTCGAGGATCTGTTCAATTTCTGTTCACGAAGATTCACAATCAAAACGGTCCTGATGTTGGCTGATCAAATGATTGGCCGCATCGAATACGTCCACTGTAAATCGTTCATTCATCGGGACATCAAACCGGACAATTTCCTTATGGGCATCGGTCGTCACTGTAACAAACTCTTCTTAATTGACTTTGGACTGGCGAAAAAGTTCCGAGACGCCCGGACACGTTGTCACATTGCGTATCGTGAAGACAAAAATCTCACGGGAACCGCTCGCTATGCCAGCATCAACGCCCATCTCGGAATCGAACAGTCTCGCAGGGACGACATGGAGAGTCTCGGTTATGTGCTTATGTATTTCAACCGCGGCTCGTTACCCTGGCAAGGGCTTAAGGCTGCAACCAAGAAACAGAAATACGAAAAAATCAGCGAAAAGAAAATGTCCACACCCGTAGAAGTACTATGCAAAGTAGGTTTGACCATGCAAAAAAACTTATTTACTTAATAATTTCCTGTGAAATGAGTTTTTGGTTCTCCTTTGCTTGATTTCATTTCATTTACCTGTATGAACCTTCATTTCCTTTTTCTTTTTCCCATTATTAACACTGTCTCTTACTTATTCACTCCTCCATCGTATTTTGTAAAGAAATTCACCTCCCATGTTTGTTTCCCTTTTTTGATCATGATAATGAGTGCTATGTTATAGCCTCACATTTTCAAAATAATTACTCCATTTGAAAAGGATAAAATGTGAGTAGAATCTCAAGCATGTGAACCTCTACTGTTTTTTCCTGAAAGGCTCTGCTCACGCCTTAATTACCAACTCAGATTTTTGTATGCATAGTCGAAAGTATCTGTTGACTGTACTGACTGCCCATAGGACTCCTATTGTTCTTAGTACATTCATTTCTGTACACAAGAACCTGAGTAGGTACTCAAGATGCGAGTAGATCCTCAAAAAAAAAGGAGTAGACACACATCATTGTGATATTTCTCACACTTTTATACATTTCAAATGGAGTGGTAACTTTAAACATGTGGGATTATACGAAGCACTCAACTTTATGTTACCACTTTTTATAAGTTATTGCTACCATGGGGAACATTTTTAATATGACTATTCTTGATAACTAAAACTTCTTATTTTTTATAGGGATTTCCAGCAGAATTTTCGATGTATCTCAATTACTGTCGCGGTCTCAGATTCGAGGAGGCTCCCGACTACATGTACCTTAGACAACTGTTCCGTATATTGTTCAGGACCCTGAACCACCAATACGACTACACATACGACTGGACGATGCTTAAACAAAAGGCCGCCCAGACGGCCGGCGTCGTGGGAGCGTCTGCTCAACCATCAACTTCACAAACTATCACTCAGCAACCCGGTAAGTAATCCAGCCCTCAAATAAAGTGACGGGGGAAAAAGACAAAAAAAAACATCTATAATAATAAATAATTATCTAACACACGATACACTCAATGATTTCTTCGTTGTCTGTATGTTTGTACTTTTTGAGTGTGCGGTGTCGAGAAGGCGGAAACACCCTGTATATTCTTAACGGTGACAAGAATATCTATATATATTTATCGTGTATTATAACGTGTCTTTTGTATTATATATTATAAGTAATAACAACTGTACTGTCTGATATTAATTTTTAATTAATAATGGCTGGGTTGAGGTGGTGTTTTAAGCCGTTTTATGTTAAAATATAAATTTGTGTGTAAATAAATGCTTCAGTAAATTGTTTTTATGATTAACAACCTAAGGAGTAAATGAGTTACTAATTTTTTCTTATTCTCGACTGAATATAGAAGTTTAAAAATGAACTGATTAAACTAAAACTACTAAAATTATTTATTTATACACTTATTAACACATAGTAACATGTGAACAAAAATTTACTGTAACGTATTTTTTTTTATTTCTAGGAGAAAAAGTTGATCATTAAAAACCTAGAAACACAACTTCAATCCAGTACATGATAAACAAAAACGTCGTTTATTCTGTTTACAATAACGTGTTTGATAAAGACTAAAGAAAAAAGGCGATTGAAAAGTTTTAAACAGTTTTGTTTAAAAAATAATGCATATATTAGATTTTTGTATGATTTTTCTTTGGTTTTTATCGTTATTTTAGTGAGTTAATAAGTTGAATTGCGACCTGTATTTGTACTTTTTGAAATGAGAATGTAATGTTGGCGACTTTTCAGCTAAAGATAACGAAAAAGAAAAGAATCAGAACTCGACGAAGGCTACTGCACATACATACAATCACGGCTCCGTTTGCGAAATAAATAAACCTGTTAAAGGTCATTGAGTTGATGAACATCCCGTTGTTACCAATTCTGTTTTTGTTTTCCTGTATTTGTACCATTTTTGATTAGAGCTACATAAATCGAACCATTGTTAAAAATTTGTTTTTATTTTCGTCAACACACTGATTCTTCTTTCAAAACTTAATCAAACACAATTTATTACTTTTCTTTTAACGTTACTATACTCTCCAATACTTTATTCTATCGTAATATCAAAATTAAAGTTGTTCGATATCTTTGTATGTAGTTCTGAGCAGTATATTCTGGTTGCATTTTAGTATTTGGGTGCTTACCAGGGGTGTGATACCTCATTGCGAAGTTCATGAGTAGAGGATCAGAGAAGTCAAAATCCGTTGTCAGAAACGTTAGCATTATATCTCAATAATTATTTATTGGGTAGCATCAGTTACTATGATAAATAATTAGTTAGCTCTGACCGTTATGCCATTGAGTTGAGGTGAAAGAGTAGGTCAGTATTGTTATTCTAGCTTAGTTTAAGCCATTTGTCATAGGTATTATTAACCTTTTAAGCCTTTCGCGACATCTTTGCTGTGGTAAGGGACAAAACACAGTTTTGTCTAATACTTACAATTAAACCGGTGGATTCCGTCATGAGCGACCTTCACACTTGTGTTCCTCTACTCATGGGCTTTCTAATGAGGGCCAATTCATCGCTGCCCTTATAGTCTTGTAAAATTATGTTTTCTCAGAAGTAATATTATTTATAAGTGCGAAAAGGTGAAAATTAGTCAACATTGTGCCATTTTTAGTTTGTAGTAATGTAAGTTACAAATAAATATTGTAACGGTTCATTCTTTTTAAGAAAGTACTTTACTTTTTATGAAAGTTCTTTAATTGCAACAGAAATTTTCATTGCATAAATACAAAGAAATCAAACAATTTTTACTTACATACATCATTACATGAAACATTTATTTATTTAATTTATTTCCTTTACACTTTTTTTTTTTAATTCGTACATTTCTTTCGCTTTGCTTTTCAAACCTTATTTTTATTTCAGGCCTACCAGTCGTAACAAAAATTCTGTGATGTGCAACACCAAGGCTAACTGTTAGTTTTCATCCTTGCAACATTATAGTGTCCATTACAAAATCTTAACATAATTAAAAAAATGTTTTCTTTTTAGCAACATTTTTTTTTTTGGGTGATTATCATATCTTATATAAATGCTAACTTTTTTGGGACATATACACAATAGACGTGAACAGCAAGTGTGAAAGTTTTATTTTCCTTTTTATTTCAAACATTCAAGAATGGGTTTTCGTTACGTTTATTAATGTTTGAGAAGTTTTTAGTAAGGTACTTTTTCATCAAGACATTTGGAAAATTTTTCTCTGCGTTCTTACAAGTTAATTTTCACTAAGCTGACTATATATAAGGACGAAGAAAAATTAATGAAAAAGGAAATGGTACAACTAATATTCTAGCTATCCTAGTTAAATTTAGGACATCGTACCCTTCTTAATGTTTTCATCAATATTTTGTCATGGTTGCGCTCTTAGTAAAAAATGACTAGAGTAGCAAAAATTTGGCGATTTTTCGTAAAATATCTCAAACTACCCAAATTTAGGAATCTAGGAAAGACATGAATGTTAATACAATTAAAAAAAGTTGTTGAAAACTTTAAGTAGATACGCTTTTAAAAGGGCTAGCTAACATTTTAGTTGCACTCATTTCATTTTTCATCAATTTTCAGAGTAATTTTCTTACATTTGCTGTTCATATTAAAAATAAAGTACAAAAGAATGTAGGTATACTGAACGATGTATATAGACATTCTTTTAAAGGAAAATAGTTACTAATCTGCTAATATTTCAATTATGAGGGATGAAAACTAATTGGATTGTTGCATGGTGGGTTTAATTATATGTTAAAAAAAGTTCGTAAAACCAAGTGCACGTTCTTGGTGGGTGAATAACGAGGTGTTTATTTTTAGGCAATCGCTAACCATTTCATCTTTTCCACCAGTCATACCGACATCACCGACTGGATCGAACCAACAACATTTTAACAGTTGGTTAAATTTTTTCTTGTGACGTTTGTCCTCATTTTGAAAACAAAATATATATATAAATATTGTAATAATCATTAGGGAATACAATACTAATTTCTTTTTCTTTTTGTTCCATAATGATGGTCTGTTTACGCACGTCAACAAAAAATGACGAACTTATTAAGTACATGTAATAACAAGCAAAACAAATTGAAAAATGAATTATTACTATAATAATAATATTAATAATGATTACTAATTTCTAGGGATGGGAGTGTTTATGGGTGTGAGAGTGTATAAGTGTTGACGAATTTGTGTGTGTATTTGAATCGGTATCAGCAACTTTTCGGGAGCGAATGTCATGAGTGATTTGCAAGTCTGGCTGTCAATATTTAATAAGTATAGTAGTAACTTAAGTGATATGTATGTTTTGTTTGAAGTACTTGTAAACGTTATAAATATTAGATGCTAATTCGGATGTGGAATTTCCTCACTAACCTACAAAGAACCAAAGGTTTCAAGTGCTACATTGTAAAAAGACTGTGATCATCCCTTTTATGGAATTTTTTATAATGTAGTAGCACTGCCCTTTTAACGACAAAAATGAGGATACTGTCATACATTATAAGGGCTGATAATAAAATTAAAAAAAGAAAAATAGCGTTGCACTTCTCTCGTGAACATTTATTATCATATTATCAAATATTCGGGAGGTAGTATTTGCAACATAAGAAATAAAGAAAGCCCTTCAAGAACACTCACAGTTATTTCAACTTGATTCAGTGACCGAAATTGAAAAATGTATTAATCTTATAGAATTAAAAAAAAAAGTCTTGTCAAATTAATTTAACGATACTTGTTTTTATACTGGAACTAATAACGTTTCGGTGATCTTTTATTAGGTAGCTGAAAGTAAATAATTACAATTTTAAAATTAATATGTCATAAATGATTCGTTATAGGTGAAAGGTTTGATTTATAGAAAAGAAATCGTCAGCTTCATAATGCATATGATTGTGATATTTTTTACATCGCATCTATCGTTTCGTATTCTTTTTGTCTAACGATATTTAGGTAGAATTTTATTTTATATTTACTTTAAAAAAATGTCATTCTTAACTTATTCCCGTATCGGTGCGAAATGTCGGCCATATACTGAGATTTTATTAAATAATTTGATTGTTAGTAGTACTTGGACATCAGTGCAGTCAAAAAAGAAATAACATATTGTATATAAAAATTTGTACAGATAATGTGAGCATTTTTTCGTATTATTCCAATAAAGATACTATTTGGTATTTTTTTTAAAGAGGTACTGAATATATTATCAAAACTAACACTATGGCACTTTATACTAATAATGTTTAATTACTAATATGTAAATAATTTAGTATCAAATTTATGCGACAATTCTATTAAATTAATTGCTTCTCTTGCAAGCTCTTTGACAAGTTGAAATAAATGTTGGAATGTGGTGAAATTTTCAAACGAAAATAAACAACAAATGTACAAAGTAACTGTCTGATTGAAAGGTATTTGTCTCTTTTTAACTTGGGGTTTGTCCTAAACGGATAACGTTATTTTTTCTATTGTAAGATTTGGTGATAATATATAGCGATGTGTTTTATGTTTAACTAAATAAATACTGGTCTCGTATATATATTTTAACGGATAATGATAATAATTTAAAGGTGTTTCGTTCAATCGAATTTAAAACGATTGTACGATTTACCCTGTATACGGTTAATTTAGTTCGCTTTAATTGCCCATCAACATATAAAAGTGAACTGCAACATACGAAAAGAAATCATTTGACAACTGTTTTTAGTTCATTACTAAAATAACAAAAAAGTTAGTTGCATGTTTGTAAATTGTTTTACAAATAATGTAAAATAATATTTCTTCCTGTAGCTGCAGAATGTTGAGGTACTGCCATGGACGTGGCGCTGCTCGTGACCAGCGTCCGCGTCTCTCTTTCCTTAAAACCTACCGTTGGCCAATATGTAAAAGATTATTTTTTAGTTTCTTTTGTATGTTTAGTGGTTATTACAATAGTTTAAGGCTTTCGCCTATTATAATAAGTTTGATAACAGAATTCAATTTGTAAAGGAACTGTTAAAACTTAAACAAGAATAAATTCTAAAAGTACACTACGAGTTTTATTTAGCCAATAAAAGAAAGAATTTTTTTGGTCAAATCCAGTTTGAAAATAGCCCTCTGCTAAGCCCTAACTTGGTGTTAATACCTCCAAAAGTAAAGATTACTTAGTAATATTCATAGTTTAACTACATATTTTGTTTTATTTAACTATTAGTTCTGCAGCAGTTCTTTATTTAAATTAAATAATTAGAATTAGAAATATGTATGTACTAAAATTTTGCAATGTAAGGTACATTTTCATCAAGAC